CCAGTCATATACTTGGTATTAGGGATAGAAACATGATAGACGCGGCGGAGACTAGAGCTAGTTGGCTGACCGTAGGCCTGCTTTATCATAGACGTGGTCCATCAAGCAATGTCTTCACCATGAGAATTACTCATGGGGTTAGCCTCAAATTACTCTAGCAGACGCAGAGTGGGGGAAATAACACCTCGTGGAGCAAAGATGGGGTGGCAGGATCGAATGAAATACTCGAACAAGGGAGATAGCTTTTCTTTTAAGAAGCAAAGCTAAGTGAATGTCATTGCCATCTTTAGGCATACTAATATTATTATGAAAAAATTCTACTATCAGTCAGTCCTTCATCACTTTACGCGACCTAAGATTACTGAAACTCCTATTCAAGGTTTCCTGTAAGATTCGAAATCTAATTATTATAAAACTGTTTCCAAGTCATACTGAGTCTTTAAACCGGTGCTTCCCAAACTGTGCGCCGCGGCCTCTTTACATGGGCGCCGCGAAATATTTTAAAAGCTTCATTATTAATTTAACCCAGATATTTGGCCTAACTAAACAAAAACGTTAGAGAAAACGCTTCGTCTTATCAATCGCGCCATATCATCGCACCATACACGTCGAGGTGCGTAGAATCTTCGCAACAGATTTTGAAAGTTTTGGAGGACCTTGCAGAAAGTATATACGTAAGCGTTGCCGGCTCGATTCAGTCAGTCGACTTATAATTTCAGTCTAGTGAAGTTAAAATCAGCGCTTCATATATAAATAAACAGTGAAATAAATTAATAATTGAGTTCATATTATAATTTAGGTAATGTTATATTACTTCTTTTGTGTTGTCTTTGATTAATAATTTTGTGATTTTTGGCTTTTGTATCTTTGATAAGAAAACGATTTTTGAACAGTTATAAACGTAATAGTGCAGATAAATAAAGTATGCCTTTAACCAGTGCCACTAGTATGAAGAACTGAAAATATCGTAAATATGATGACAGTTATTTAGAATTTGGTTTACCTCAACAAAAATTAATGGTGAAGAGAGACCACAATGTGTATTGTGCATAAAAGTTTTGTCAACAGAGTGTATGCTTCCAATTAAATTGAAGCGCCATTTAGAAGCTAATCACAACAGCATGGTTAGCAAACATTGTGATTTTTTAGACAGGAAGTTAAAAGAACTTAAACAAAAAAAATACATTTGTAAAAACTGCATCAATATAAAACAACGCTTTACTAATATCTTACAAGGTGGCTTACAGAATCGCGAAATGTAAGAAGCCTCATATTATCGTAGAAGAACTTATTCTACCGGCTGCTGTAGACACGGTGAACATCATGGTTGATGAGTCTGTTAGGAAGCAGTTTTTAAAAGTGCTTTTGTCCAATAACACAATTAGTTGGAGAATACAAGATATGGCGGAGGATATCAACTATCAATTAATTAAAAAAATTAACGGAGTCCAATTTGGATTGAGGATAAATGAGGCTACGGATAAGAATAAGGATGCTCATTCGATATGCTATGTACGCTTTATAGATGGTAATAATATTGAAGAAGATCTTCTGCTTTGTAAAAATATCATTGCAGGAGCGAAAGCTCAGGACCTGTTCAAGATTCTTGATACATTCATATATGAAAATAACTTGAATTAGCCTAAATGCGTTGATGTCTGGACTGATTGAGCTCGTTCCATGTCTGGCTGTTATGAGGAATTACAGGCGCGTATTCGAAGCAAATCACCAAATGCACTATGGACCCATTGCATTATTCATAGAGAAGCGCTTACGTCAAAGGATCTGAGTCCCGCACTGAATCAGGTGTTAGAATGTGTGATGAATGTGGTAAATTTTATGAAATTTCGTCTATTGAAAGCAAGGTTTTTAAAGAAAATTGTGTGAGAATATGGGAGCCGAACACTTCTTTGTTGTACTATAGCAGTGTACGATGGCTCTTTCGTGGTAATATTTCATCACCTACCTTTGAAATGTGGCAAGAAATATTTATTTTCCTTAAATTGGAAGGATAGAAAGATGCAGAATATTTTGCTGATGCCGATTTTTTAATAAAACTGGAATATTTATGCGACAGGGAAAGAACATGCACCTTTTGAAAGCAACGGAAAAAAATATCAGCCTTTATAAAAAACTCAAACTGTGGAGAAGAAAATTGAATGAAGATACAGACAAAGATTGTTTTTCAATATTACAGCAATTTTTGACATCAAATAAACATGATCTTTCTCGAGATATAAAATCCTTGTTTGATGAGCACTTATCACAGCTAATTAACCGGCTTGTGAAATATTTTCAAAATAAAAATTTCGATAAGTTTGCATGGATTAAAGATCCATTTAACACTAGCGTTCCGTCTGAATTTACTTCTGCAGAAAAAGAGAATCTTATCGAGTTATCTTGCGATAACAGTTTGAAAGCAGAATTTTGGAGCATGGAATTGACAGAATTTTGGATTTCAATAAAAATGAATATCCCTTTTTAAGTGATAAGGCTCAGCTGATTATAATTTCATTTTCGACGTCGCATTTGTCCAAAGCTGGGTTTTCGGCGGTCGCTGTAATAAAAAGCAAGTATAGAGAGTGGCCGTGTCCAGTTTACTTCAACGATTTGAGAAAATTTGCTGTGATTTGCAGGCTCATCCATCACAGTTATTATTAAATATTAATTTAATGTTAATAAAGTAAAAAATATAATGAAGATACACGAGTTTTATTAATTTTTATCTCTTACTTACGAATATTCATACTTAGAATAGGACGCCATGGAAAGATGTTAATTGAAAAAGGGCGC